ATATTATTAAGAAATAGCTTCAGTATTATAAGGTATCATTTCAGGGTTAAATTTACCGTCTTACATGGTGCCAACTCCATGAGAAAATGGTAGAAACCTCTCTCTAGTTTCAGTTTCAATTGTGCTTTTCCTAAACAAGTTTATTTTTGCCCTTGAACACTATAAAGTCTGTAAATGATCTTGTTTTCTGCTCCGAATAGATGCTAGAAAGTTCAGAGTGAAATTTGAGGCCTCCACTTAGCAAGTGATTAGGATTTCACTGGCACATATTTTGTGTACTCGATGCTCCATCTTACCTTTGTTTTCTCCTTAGCTCATTTTCTTCACTAGTGATATCACACAAGATAATTTAAGTCATTTCTAGAACAAGGCAGGCTATAAATATATATTTAAGATAATAAATAAGAAGCCTATACCGCTGAGTGGAAGATGAGAAGGAAATAGTTAAGCGCACCTACCCAGGCAAAGTGTACTCACGAGTTCTGTTATTATAAAGCCATCCACCAAAGTCTACTTATTATATAGTTCATGTCACTTAAAAACAGGAGTTCCTGCCTCATTTTTTTGGAATATGGGTAAATATGCTGAATTATCTATGCAAAATACCATATCTATGCAAAATACTCATTTTCCAAGGGGAAAATGAGGTATAGGCAGAAAAGTAGGTATTGCAACTCCTAATGCATGTTTGCAAATGATGAGAATCAATCTTGTGGTTCTACCCACCCTCAGCAAACTTTCCATATGGCAACTTTTGTTATTCTTTATTATAGATATAAAGCCACATTAACTACTTGCTCTCCCTGTGGCTATAACAATCATAATAGCAGGCGTTACACTACTCCTCAGCCAACTAACTCTTAATAGCTTCCAGGATGCACATCTGAGAACCATCTCACCACATTTCACAAACACTTCACTCTTGACAGCCCACTCTATCTGTGCATATCCTTTGATGCAACATGCATATGCTTGAAAGAGTTATAAATTTCAGCTCTATCCCAAATTATCTTCCCTCACGTAAACTCTACATCATCTCTGTGCTACATTCTATGAAAAATATCATCTAATATGTTTAACAATATTTTATATATGATAACCCTGTCTTATGAGTTTATCTCTGCAAAAAAGTAACACTATGTTTCAACAAAACTACAGATTCCAGTGATTTCTACCAAAGTGAAACAGTTAACTATGGACACTGACATAAAGTCCTAAACTGTTAGAGCTTGAAGGAACCTCAGAGGTCAGTCACTTTGGCCATCCAACTCAAATTTCCACCGTGCAGGTAGGAAAACAGAGGCCGTGAGAAATATAAATTCAGGTCGTCATTCCTGTATTAATGAGTGGGTGGTTCCAGAAAGTCATTATTTAGTCAGTTATTTGAAATTTGATACATATTTCTCATTAAGAAACAACATTACAATAGAAAGTTTTGCTCCTAAATTAGCCAACAAAATCCTGTATATCTAGAGGCTGGATGGTGATGATGGTTGCACAACAATGTAAATGTAATTAATGCTGCTGAACTGCACACTGAAAAATGGTTACAATGATAAATTTTATGGTATAAGTATTTTATAATACTTTTTGGGGGGAAAGATTTTTTTATTTATGCATACAAGAGCTGGGGTACAGGCCAGAGATGTTGAGAGGGAGGTGAGAGGATTCACCAGAGACAGAGTGGGGAACAGAACAGACATATAGACTGAGGTACACTGCTGAAAGGAGGAGCGGGCAAGTCAGGAGAGATCTGCTGCGCCATATGGGTTGCTCCCTAGCGAGCAGGGGATCGAACTCGTGCTGCGGAGGCTGCGGATTGCTTCATAGTGTGGTGCTTAACCCCTTGCGCCACCAGAGAGGCCCTGTACAATACATTTTTAAACATTCCTTTTTTAATCCATGAAGCGGTTAAAATATGTGGTACAAGAGGAAGGTGGTGCAAGAAAAGGAAGAAGTTCTCAACATCTTGCTTGGGGCTACTTGAAAGTCTTTCCTCGCATGAACAGCCAGCTAATTGCTTCTGAAGCATCCACTCTCCCTCCATCGATCACCAGCTCCCAAAATTCTCTTAGGGAACTGGTCCTCCCCATTCTCAGCCATCACAGAGCTGACCCCAATCACTTGTGCAGGTGTAGCCAAGTCCTGGTTTCAAGCAGTCCTCCTGGCCACAGTATGGTTCACATGTTATTTCATGTCAATAAAAAACAAGAACTCTGTGTGTGTGTGTATGTGTGTATTGTGTTGCTGAGGGAGGGCACATATATTACATATACAAATATATGTGCACAAATATAAAGTATATATAAAAGAACAAAATGAAACAAAAAATCTTCCTTTGTCATTCTGCTGGAGTTACTATAAGAGAGGATGTCTCTTCCTCTGAGTAGGGCAGTAGATAAATGGAGATGCCCAAGCCACTGTGGCCACTGCTGTCTCCATAAGAGCTAAGCTGAAGTCTGTGTGCTAAGCACACAGATGAGCACAGACGAGCATGCAGGGCAGAAAGAATTGCAAAGAAAGGGAGGAACAGAAGCCTTGATGAAGTCATGAACTTCTAGAACAAGCCTTAACTAATGGCAGATCTGCTTCTGGACTTATTGTCTGCATAAGCCAATAATTCCATATTTAGCTTTAGTCTGGTTTTGTAGTTCTTCTCTATATATGCAATTGAAATATTCCTAACAGATACAGTTCCAGAAGAAAATCTGAAATAGATCAGGTTCGATCTTCATTTACCTGCCTATCTGAAACCATCTCCCAGCAGCCACTGTCTTTCTCCCCAGGCAGCTAGTACACTTCTGCACTAAGGTCTCTGGTCTCACACTTACCTGGTCTACACTAAACCCCAAAGCACTTCAGGTCCCAACATTAACTTCCCTGTTCCTCTTACATCTACTCTAACAGCCCATACAGATTCATAAAACAAAAATAAAGAAAAATAAATAAATTATTATGAGTATGTTCCACCTGAGCCTAAAAGAGTGTGTACATTAACTTGTGCGGGTCAACATGCATGGTAAAGAGGTGTTGCTAGTAGCAAGTTTTGTGTAGCGCTGAGACAGAGGCCCAATCATGTCTGTTCCCCAGTGTAACCTCCAGAGAGAGAGACTCAGGTTAAAAGCACAGAAGCTGCCTTTACAGGAGAAACTGCGAGATGCAGGGCACTGTATATGCCACTCGAGAGCCCAGAGGACAGAGAGTCTCGAAGTCTCTGGACAGAGAGTCTTGTTCAGAGAGATGAAGTAATATGGTGCTATTTGTCACCATCTATGTTTTGCCAGAGAAACGGCATTCTTAGTTTAAAGGAAGCTGTGTTCTTACAGCCAGAGGCTGAGCAACCACAGTGGGAGAAGCCTACTTCTAAGACTTGTGGCAGCAGACATAGAGGGTCGAGGGAGAGTTGTAAACACCCCCAGGGTTCTCAGAATAAGGAACAAGATATTAGGAGGCCAGGTGCTGAGATCTTGTCAACAGTAGGAAAGGTGAATGTAAATGTAAATATTGTATATTATAATTTCTTCTCCTGCTCCTCCTTCTTGCCCCACATTATCCATTAGTGACAATGTCCACGTAGACCCACAGGCTTTGGGATCTGGGGACATCAAGGCCATATTATAGAGCTTTGCAGAGGGAAGATTCTAGAGGGATTTTGACAGATGGAAAGATCACAATAAAATGGAAATGCTGAGTCCTTCTTTGAGGACAAGGAATGGCATGATCGCACAGGTGGAGGGAGAAAGCAGGAGCAGAGTCCAGGCGTGGGCATGTGTGCTGTGTCCATGGGAGTGGGACAGAATAGGGTGTGGCTACAAGTCGATCCAGGGAGACAGGGACCTTTGACAGGGAGTGTGTCTGCTTTGTGCAGTGGGCTTTTATAAAGTGGGAAGAGGAAGTCAAATTAAAATAATGTGAATAGGGCCTCCCTGGTGGTGCAGTGGTTGAGCGCTGGGTTGCGAAGCTGCCAGCAGCCTCTGAAGCACCAGTTTGATCCCCGTCCACCAGGCGAGGGTCCCACATGGCGTGCAGACCTCTCCTGCCGCCCGCTGCTCCCCTCAGCAGTGTATTTCGTCAGTCTGCCTGTTCTGTTCCCCGCTCTGGCTCTGGTGAATTCTCTCACCCTCCCGCGCTTCTGACTGTACCCAGTGCTTGTATAAATAAATAAATAAATAAAATCTTAAAAAAAAAAAAAATCAGACCTTGTAGGCAAGTTATAAAAAAAAAAAACTTGCCTTGTAGGCAAGTTATAAAAATAACTGGAGCCTCTTAAGACTCACGGGAATGTTCATATTTTTTTAAACACATTGTTAACCCTAGTCATCTTGAACTGTCCAAGATTCAGACAGAGGAGAAAGAAGAAAAGCACTTTCACAGCAGGTTTGTGGGGCAGACGACCCTGAGCAGGCAGCCTGCCACACCTAATTGCTGCCTCCGGCCCACCAGTCCAATTCTGCTTAACTTTGGGACTCTCAGCTTGTGTTGGTATTGTTGCTTTAAACAGGCCACTAGTTGTGGTGGGAGGCCTGAGCAATGGTGGACATTTTTAGTTAACTTGTAAGTTGGATTTAAGTTTTGCCTGGCAATGCTGTCTTTTCAAATATCCTGGCACATCCATTTAAAAAATGACACATGCCTCCTGGTGGCCTAGAGGTTAAGGCTCAGCTAACCCACAGACTTCTCCTTCCTCGCCTGCTGCTCCCCTCAGCAGTGTATTTCAGTAGATCTGCCTGTTCTGCTCCCCACTCTGTCTCTGGTGAATCCTTTCACCCCCCACACCAGTAAATGTACTTAATGCCACTGAATTACACAATTAAAAATGGTTGATATGGTAAATTTCATTAAGATATTTTACCACAATAAAAAAAGTAATTATTATTTTTTATTTTTTAATTGAGGTAACATTGGTTTACACCATTATATATGATTTAGAGGTATAGGATCACACCTTCAGGTGCACATTATCACACCATGCCCACCACCAAGGCACCAAAAGTCCTCCATAAAATATGGAGCGCCTCACAAATTTGTGTGTCATCCTTGCGCAAGGGCAGCACTAATTTTCTCTGTATCATTCCAATTTTAGTCTATGTGCTGCTGAAGCAAACGCTAAACATAATTTTAAAAAAAGCACCAACATCCTTCCTTTTTTAAAAATACAACAGTTTTTACTTTTCCTATGTAGCAATATTAAACAACTGCAATTGACTGGGCTAGTTTAAATCCTGACTATCCCTACAATGTAGAAATTGTAATCATAACAAATACAAGCTATACATTACTCTTAAAATGTATATTTGACATAGTTTTTAAAAAGATGTTTTTGACTTAATTTTCATTGTACATGATTAAAAGAAGTATTTACATTTTATTAAATTAAGTGACTATGACAATCAACACCAAATAAAAACTGAGTCATTTCCACTGGGTCTCCCTACAACATGGAGACCACAGGAATAAAAAATATTCCCCAAACTAAATCACTCCTCAAGCTTTCTGAAATTAGCAGACAATGTTTGCAGCTGACCTATTTCTTTCCCACACGACTGTGTTGATAATTGACTTTTGTCCCCCAGGGAAGTACTCAAATATAATTGAGCAGCACCTGCCAGTTTTACACACTCAGTAATTCCCACAAATATTGTACTTAGCTTGGGACTCAAGCACTCTGCTTTCTCCTTAATTGTAGCACTCAAAAAGAAATATTGTAATTACCAAAGTTGAATTATTATGAACATCTAGATAAAATAAGTGTTTTGAATTGCAAATACACAAGTTATTTCTAATACTAAAAATTATTGAAAGTGATGGGAATAACAACTTACATTTCTCAGACACTTTTTTAATAGTGTCAGTCTCATTTTATTATATAAATCCTCTTCTATAGTCACTTGGTTTTGTTCAATCCAGAGGACAATGGTAAGGTCAGGGGTTTGATTTCATTGTAGAGTAGGTTTGTACCCCCACCCCAAAGTTCGACTTTGTGGCCTGACACTGCAGCTCCAATCAAATATGTGTAGCATCCACCCCATTCAACAACATGACTATGTGGGATATGGGCTAAAGGAAAGGCAAGCCTCCTTTCAAACACATACCAACATCTCTACATTCAGACCAGGGACCACAGCTGGAAGTTCTCAGGCTCTTACAGAGAATATGCTAATGAAAAATCTGGAGTCAGTAACATAAAATCACATATCATTGTATGTTTCCAAGTTATATGAAAGATTCAATATAGAATAGGCAGATCTATAGACAGAGTGGATTAGTGGTTTTTAGGGCTAGGGGTAGGGAGGGAGATGGAGATGCTAATGGGTAGAAGGTTTCTTTTGGGGCTTGATGGAAATATCCTAAATCTAAAATTAGATTATGGTGATAACAGAATTTGGCCTCTGAATTCCTCCCCGCTTTTTGGTACACACTGAGGCCAAATTTAAAAAGGTGTGGCCATGGAGTGCTCTAGCCTTACTAGTGATCATTTTACCCACCTGTTTGATTTGCAAACATAATCAGCATTTGAGTTAACACTAGCCTTGAGCAATTGGAGAAGAAAATAGGAGATTACAAAGGCTGATCTACCTAAATTGCTATGCCTTCCCGTTACCACTGGACTTTGCTGTGTTACAAAAGAAATTACCAAAAAAAAAAATTCTTAAAGAGCTTAAATATAATATTCTGACACCATGAACAAGTACAACTGTTTACTGTTTTTAGTGATTCTGACAACCCAGAAAAACACAGAATCTTTTCAAGTTTATGTTCACAAAATATTTCCTCTCAAAACAATTCGGCTGCAGCCCTGGGCATGGTTTATCATCCAAACGATTACAGTGCAGGGATGAGAAAGATTCAGATGTCACATAAGCTTTATCGACCTATCTGATTAATGCTTTCAGTACATAAAATACAAATGCCAAATGTCATCCCTTCAGATTGAAGTGATTATTTCTGATCTGCTTATGTGTGCAATAAGAAAGCATGTTAAAGAAAATAGGAAAGTTTACAAAGGGGCATGCTTACTCTAGCTAAAATGAGAACTTCAAGGAATTTCAAAATGTTGCCTAGATTGAGGCCAGGTGCTAACAAAACATCAATCAGCCTTAGCTACATCTGAATACAGTTTGCCATCACGCACAGCATGGCATTGTTGTTACTTAAAAACAATAACAGCATTCCCTTAAAATTAAATCTATAATTTAGCTTTTTCATTACTTCAGTTTCTATTTGCAGTCCTACCCTCACTACCCAGGCCCAATTCACATCGTTAAATCTGTGTACCATTTCTAACCTGCTTCTTCTATGCATTGTGAAACTCACACTCTCCTAGGACTGAAAAGCAATATATTCTACCTCTGGGTTCATAAGTAGAAAATGATGTAACTGTGATGGGAGCATAATATCTACTGCTTACAACAGAATGTGGTTTTATGGGAGTTTGTTGGGGATAACAGCCTTGCTCTTCTTGAGACTTACCAATTTGATGTATTCTAGAGAGGCATTATAAAGAAGGTGTGATTGGGAGAAGGCTGAGTGCTCTGCACAGTATACAAAGGAAATTTTTGCGCAGCAGCCTAGGCTTGACAGAAGTGAAAACCACCAGGTATGGAGGGAGTGTAAGCGGGTTGGGCAGGGGGTGTTGGCAGTGGGAGGGTGCTGCCTATGCCACACAAACCTGTTTAACGATGGTCTGAAAATAGATGTCTCCAGGCCTGTAACCCATTCTCCTGCTGGCAGGGACACTCCAGCCAAGGGTGAGCAAACATAGAGGGTGGTACTGTTCCAGGAAGCACCCCACTCCGAAATGTTGATTAAAAATACAAGCAGAGGGCCTCCCTGGTGGCTCAAGGGGTTAAGCACCGCACTATGAAACTATCCCACAGCCTCTGCAGCACAAGTTTGATCCCTGGCCAGCCAGGGAGAAACTCACATGGCGCAGCAGACCTCTCCTGACTAGCCCGCAGCTCCCCTCAGTAGTGTACTTTGGTCAATCTGCCTGTTCTGTTCCCCACTCTGTCTCTCGTGAATCCTCTCACCCCCTGCATCTCTGGCCTGTACCCCAGCTCTTGTATGCATAAATAAAATAAATCTTTAAAATAAATAAAAATAAATAAAATTAAAAATACAAGCAGAGGCTAAGCAAAGCAAGCCACAGAGCAGAATGGGGCTTGCAGGCCTCACTCTCCACATCTGTGGACTTTTCTTCGAGTCTTCAGAGAATCTGAGTGAGTTGCAACCCCCCATGCCCTGGTCAGGGCTTAAGCTTCGTTTGTGTCTAAGTCACAGAAAAGAGAGCTAGAAGGGTCAAACTCAGTGGAAGATGAGCTTAGACAATGCCAACCACAACTTGAAAAGATAGGTCAGAACTAGATTCCACTGGATCAGCAGACTCCCAAGGAGTGGACAGACTAATTTCCACAACTAGCTTCACTATGTGATGTGACTAAATTAGTTTTCTTCAGCTCTGTCCTTGCTTTTTCCCTTGAAGAAGGAGCAATCTCTGCTCCTTAACATCCAGAAATGACACTGTCTGGGGCAGCCTGTGGAATAATTAAGGGGAGAGGACCACAGCAAAGCCAAGGTCATTTCCAACTTAAGTTTCCACACAGGGTCCTGTCATGTTCTAGAAAGATTAAAGTTTGAGTCAGAATTTATCAACATTTCAATAAAATCTTACTATCTTAAACCTCAGGATAAATGGTTTACAAAAATGGGAATTGGGGAACTCTATGTACCAAGAACGAAGACTTCAGAAATAAGCAAAAATGACAGGTTAACTGTTCTGCTGCCCCATAATTAGATTTCTCAATCGGGAGCTTCATAAATTCAGTCCCTTTTTTTAAGTCCAAGTGCACAGACAAAACAGTTTGCAGAGAAGCAGAGTTCTTTCTTGCTGTCAGATCTCAACTTGGGAAGACACACTCTAGAGAAAATTCAAAAAAAAAAAAATAGGTGTGGACTTTTCCTTAAAGTTCATTATAGCTGGATTTTATTATATAGCAAGGAAGTTCTACTTACAGAGCAACTTCCAATTGGGTTGATGGAAATAATTCACTTCCGTGTAACTGAAATATAATGGTTGTGCCATCCCAATCTGTTTGCCTAAGATCCATTCCTTTCCTGCCCTGGCTGGGCTTTCTATCTCATTGGAGCCAACACCAGCAGGCTGCTTCCCAGGGCCCCTGTCAGCTGGGATCCAGTAGGGCTCAGCCAATGGGAGACACTCCAGGAAACTAGGTGGCCAGGGGTGGGGTTAGATGGAAGGAAAGAAGAAGCAAGATTATTTCTTTGTATTCTGTCCACCTCAAGTGACTTCTTTGGCAGAAATGCATCTCCTCAGCGTCTCTTTAAAAAAAAAAAAAAAAAAATTTATTTATTTATTTATTTATTTATACGAGCACTGGGTACAGTCAGAAGCACGGGAGGGTGAGAGAATTCACCAGAGCCAGAGCGGGGAGCAGAACAGGCAGAAGGACCAAAGTGCACTGCTGAGGGGAGCAACGGGCGGCAGCAGAGGTCTGCGCGTCATGTGGGACCCTCACCCGGGGCCAGGGATCAAACCGGCACTGCAGAGGCTGCAGGCAGCTTTGCAACCCAGCGCTCAACCGCTGCGCCACCGGGGAGGCCCTCCTCAGTGTCTCTTGCTCTTACAAAAAAGTGCCTGAGTGGTTCCAGCACCTACCAGGAGATTCCAGACCCTAAGTTGCAGTAAAAGTTTTCTTCTCCAGTAAGTTTTTTCTAGCCTAGAGGTAATAGTGGCTTTCTGCCATTGCTAACCTCTCGGTTCATCTTCTAAACTATCCCATAACCTGTTTAATTGTGTCTCTACATTTAAGTCACTCAACTGTAAAAATTCAAGTTAGTTTTGTTTTCTGGTTAGACTTTGGCTAATACAAAAGTAAGTAAGAAAACAAGCAAAAACTTCCATGAACCATACAAACAAAAATTCAATCCTATAACAGACTTGGAAAGAAACTACAGTCTTCAGCTTCTCCAGTTATTGCTTTGTTCTTCACAGTAAACACAGATTAAGAATATTTCCAGGGGGCCTTCCTGGTGGCGCAAGGGGTTGAGATGCAACCTACGAAGGCTATCCGCAGCCACAGCAG